CTCTGTCCCCTCTACCCTCCCCCATCTCTCTGTAACTCTGCCTTTCAAATAAATAAAATAAACCCTCTTTAAGAGAAGAAAATTCTACTTTTTCTCCTTTCCCACCCTTCGGAAGGGCGGTGCTCTCTGCCTCCCACGAAGGGAAACCCAGCCTACACTCAGAGCACGGGTCCCCTTGGCAAAGACCCCGGGGGCTGTCCCCGCACGGACTTCGCTTCAAGAGTTAATCTGCTGCAAGCAAAGTTTCCTTTAAAAGATTTTTTTTTTGGAAAAAAAATGTGGTTTTGCTTCCAAATGATGTTCCAAAACTCTCTGGCTCACCACGGAGTAATCCCTCCACTGGAAAACGCAGGCGTGCTGTTATTTTAGAATGGCACCGGGCCTCTGGCTTCTTGATTCAGCCAGGGCTGCCGATGCTGCCTCCTAGAAAACTGCAACTGCCTAGGACAGAGAGGCTGGTTCCCCGGGGGGCAGTGCAGGAAGGCGGGACCCTCTGCCTTTTTTCCATTCGACCCCTCTCTGCCAAGCTTCGTGCTCGCCCGGCCAGAGAGGGGCTCCCCTGGAACAGCTGAACTTCTAACCTGCTTAAGTAGAGGCCCATCTGCTGGCCCTGACCCTCAGGCCTCCCCCCTCCCCGCTCGTCCTAGTTGTCCTCTGGTGAAGGCTGCACGCGCGTATGTAACACTCCAAAAATGCACGGCTGGCGGGCGCAGCACTAACAAGAACGGCTGCTAGGGAGCGACCCTGTGCCTGTTTGTTCAACCTCCCTTTCTGCTGGCCCACGATTCTGGAAAGTGGCCCACTCCTCCGGGGGAAGAGGTGTCTGCAAAGCCCACCCATGGATGGCGTGTGACCTGATTCCCCCGGCTGCAGCTGTTTGTCGGGCTGGCCCATTGGTGGGGACTCAGGATCCTGGACTGGCCTGCTTGGGAGGGCCATATCTTCTGGTAACAATTGCTCTTTCCTAGAGGAAGGTGAGCTGGGCCAGGGGTCGCTGCTAGGAAGCAGAAGCTCAGGAGGCTGCCAGGGCACTGGAAATCACTCCCCCTCCCCCCAGCAAGGAGAGGAACTGGAGCTGGGGAGTCAATGACAGGCTCAGAGCCCAGGCCAGGGGCCTCAATGTCACCTGTACCCAGCGCTCTGGCGATTCAGGAACACAGGGGTTTTTAGACCTCTCCAGTCTGGGGTGGAAGAAGGTTCACGGCCCTACATGGCTTGCTTCTCCCCAGGGCGGCGGGAGTACCCCACCCCGGTCTCTCTTCTGCAGGAAGGCTTGTTGGCCGTGCATCCATCGCTCCCTCCTTTAGGCACCCTCTGTGACCTCCATGGTCTCCCATCTGGTATTCTGACCCCATGGGCCCCTGCTTCGTTTGCAGGTTTGTCTCTTTTGAGTGGACTCTGGCCTTCATCAAGAGGGACCCTGGCTTACTTACTCCTGATCCCCAACTACCAGCCCCATGCGCTTCCTTGGTAGGCACGGAGAGAAAGCTGACTGAATGGATGAACCAGCTCCCCATTTTCCATGAGTTTACCCAGAGGGTGAGTGCCTGGGCCTGGATTTGGATCCAGGATTGTCCTAGTCTGAAACCTGTGCCAACCCTAGGGCCCCACCTTCTTTCCCGAGTCAGTGACCCGGGCACACACTGAAGAACGTGAAGAAAACCATGGAGGTCAGAGGTGCAAGTGGCCTGAAACGTCATGGAAATTTACTCCATTATTTAGGGAAATGCAATCATTTGTGTGAGCTGGTAAACTAGGGGCCAACTTGAACATTTGATATAGAGTTCTTCCAGGTGATAATCATGTTGAATTTAGCTTAGCCTGTAGGCCTATGGAAGAAAGAAGACCAAGTGCAGGTGGGAGATAACTGCTCACGCAGGTAAATCCAGGGCAGGGAGTGAGCCACCTGCAGGGATGCAGGCACTGGGGAAGGCAGAGGCTCATCTAGCACAGGACAGTGATGTGGAGAGGCGCACTGGGACCCAGTGTGGGCAGAGGTTGGGTGGTGGGGAAGTACGTGCTGTCCTCAGGGCAGTGGGGTGGCATGGGCTTTCCCTGGACGTGCAGGACGGGACATGAGGATACGTGCAGCAGAGCCAAGAGCAGGGAGGAATCGCCAGTGTCAGCAACTTGAAGCCCTGCAGCTGGGCCCTGGGGTAGAGGAGGAGAAACGCTGCCCACCAGGCCTTTGGGGAAGTGAGCAAAGGCATTGGAGAGAAAGAAGAGCGAAGGGACTGGACCGAGGAGGGTGGGGTCTCTTGGGTGGTTAGAGACAGGGAGGGGGACCACCACTTAAGGCATGGATATGGGAGTACTTCCAAAAGTTTGGGGAAAATGGAATCAAATGATAATGAGTATTTTATGTGATCTTCCTCAAGATTTCTATACTTTTCCGGCTTCCACTCTCCCTGGGCTCTCTCGACACATGCACCTGCTTGTGGGGCAAGATGGCAGTGTGTGCTGTGCTGGGGGGAGGGGAGGAGCAGGAGGAGGAAGAAGAGGAAGCAAGGGCACGAGGGGAGCAATTCCAAGGGCAGATATCAAGACAAAAATGCATGGGAGGCCCCCCATGCATTGCGCTGGGGGCCCCCTAGAGAGCAGGATACTTCAGAAAGCTTGTGGAAACCTGCAAGGAAGAGAGATTACTTGGGTGCAAAAAGTTTGAAATCCATGCCAATGTGGGATCCTCAAAGATTCATGGGAAATAAGCATGATGAGAAAACTAAGCATGTATTTCAACATTGTTTCCACTCAAATAAGCTTCTCTCTTCACTCCATTTTTTTCCCAAAACTTTTGGTAGTGAGACACCAACACCAGTCCCTGGGAGCTCCCAGGAGCAGGGAAGGAGCAAAAGCCCACTCTGTCTCCAGAGCTGGGAGTCTGGAGACAAGCCGCAGGGTGCGCCTCCCAGCTAATGCACCCAGAGGGACGTGGAAACGGACCACTAGCACGATGGCCCAGCTGGGCCAGAGTCACCAAGACCAACACCCAGGACACTGCCTGTGCCAGGAGCGTGGGCAGCACTTCCAGGCCCAGCATGCCCCAGGACTAAAAAGGACATCTCCCCAAAGACCAGCGGGCAGCAGCTGGTGTGCTTCTGACGACCTCCAGGGGACCAAAGCGCTCACTGGCTGGTGTCGAGCGAGGAAGACGCCCTCTGTTCCCTGCACCCAGCCTCCAGGTTGAGCAACGGAGGCGGCAGGGGCTCCCAGAAACAGTGCTGTTACTGCAGCAGGGACATTATCCGAGGCGTTGCAAACCTCAGCTCAGAGTCTAACTGGATTGGACATCTCGCTTAGCCTCCCATCCCACTAACTAGTGGGTGAGGCTCGGAAGAGAAGACCAGATTAGCTCTAAGTGCAGTCACGAGGCTCTATTTTCCCTTCACATCCGATATGTGCTAAGAGTTATATTGGTGCAGCCTGGCTACTTCTGGGGATGCTTGGGCCCACTGGAAGCCTGGGGAGGGGTGGGAGGTGCTCAAGAGGACGCCTCCCAGATGCTGGGACGCGTTGGGCTCTGTGGCTGGGCCTGGCTTAGCAGAGCCACAGGCTTCATAAAGAAGGTGGAAATTCCTGCTTCACGAGGAGGGAGCCAGGTGTGGGGGTGCAGCAGTGATGTGAGGGCCCAGGGGAAGCTGCAGGTGCAGCAGGCCTGCTGGGACAGCCTCCCCGAGGTCCCCCGGGCAGGGCTTTCCTGGGCTGCGGTGGTCCCCTGGGACCCACCCTTCCTGGGGCAGTCACCAGTCATCCCTGTGGCTGAAGGAGGCGGCTTTGCACAGGGTGCTGCTGCCCCCTCCTGGGAGATGCCGGCAGGAGTGACAGAGCTGCTGTGCCTCTCACCTGTGCCTGGAGGGCGGATCAGCAGCTGCCCCCACACCCAGCTCTTCGGCACCTCCCTTTCAGATTGCTGTGTTCACCTTCCCTCTGGGGGCCAGAGCCCTGTGCCTCTCCAACAGCTGTCTGTGTCCGGGGCACAGTCGAGCATGGTGACCGCAGGTGCTGCTGAGTACCCCGACGGGTGGGTTAAGTGCCCCTCTCCTGCCAGCCCCTGCCAGTTCTCACTCTCCCGGAGCCATAGGGGGTGTGCAACGCCACAGAGGGGCACGATGATGGGGAGACAGGTGCTATGCTTACAGAGGGCGTGAGGACGGAGGTGTGCCTGGCACTGTCCAGCCCTCAGTGAATGGGGTCATTACTGTTCCCTCCCTCCCTCTCCCCTCCCTCTTCTCAAAGACCTCATTGAATTCCTCCATCCAGGGACGCTGCACCTGGAGGTCTTCCTGCCTGCTTTCAGTCTGTCCGTGCTGGGCAGCACAGCTTCCCCCCCACCCACCCACCCCCACCCCCACCACCACCTGTGGCCATTCCTATGCTCCCGATCCACCGCAAAGATGGAGCCGGCACGCCTCACCCTCCTGCCTCGTTCCTTCCATTTCCGTCTCCTTACTCGCTCCCCACGCAGCATGACCCCGCACCCTCCTCCCCACGAGTCTCCTGCCCTTCGTACAGCCCCATCCGCGCCTTCGTGACTGCTCTGCGCCTCCCAGCCCCCTCATAACCCGAGCCGGCTCTGGCCAGCAGCCCCGGTGAGCCCTCTCCCCAGTGCCTACCTCTCAGGCTTTGTCCGACGGCTCGGCAGCTCCCAGTGCTGGCAGCATTTCTTTCTGCAAATCCTCTCTCCCTTCCAGTGCTTTTCCTGGCTGCCTCAGTTTCCTGGCTAGCTCTTTTCGGCCCGCCATGTGGCACACAGAGCTCCCCCTCTGCCGATCATCTCACTTGAGGCCCATGATGCCCTGGGGCCCCAGAGCTCCAGCCTCACACACTGGCTTTGCGGTCCGGCTCTTGTTCCCTTCCTTGCCCACTCCCTGTCTGCCTTTACAGGTGCACACAGGACATCTCCACGCCAGGGGCTGGGAGATCCCACCTGCTCCACGGGCCCCCTGTGGAACTCGTGACCTTTCTCCCCCATTTCCCACTCCCTTCTTTCTCCTGCTCACCCCTCTCACACCATCCAGCTGGTCGCGGCGTTCTGTGGATTCCGTCTCCAGCCAGGCACTGCTCTTAGCCTCGCACTCGCACAGTCCTCTTGCAGGCTCCTGGAAACAGGAAGAGCAGAGACATTGAGACGCTCTGTCGCCTGAGTGGGGTCCGACAGCTAACGAGTGGCACAGCCCCAATGGGGTCCCGCATCTTGCTGGCAGCACAGTCCTCATTTTCCAGCCTTGCAAAGGTGCCACGCCAGCTCTCTCGCTGGTTTTGTTGCTGTCAAAGAGATGAGCTCCATTGATTGCTTCCTAAAATGAAAAGTCAAGGTTGAAATTCTCCTTGTACCCCCTCAGTCGCTGCCTTTTTTTTTTTTTTTTTTTTTTTTTTTTTTTTTTTTTTTGACAGGCAGAGTGGACAGTGAGAGAGAGAGACAGAGAGAAAGGTCTTCCTTTGCCGTTGGTTCACTCTCCAATGGCCGCCGCAGCTGCGGGACAGAATCCGGCGCCCTGACCGGGACTAGAACTCGGTGTGCCAGCGCCGCAAGGCGGAGGATTAGCCTAGTGAGCCGCAGCGCCGGCTGCTGGCTGCTCTTAAGCTGCCATCTGTACTCTGGAGCCCGGCTGCTCCTCTACCTGTTACCCGGCCTGTTTCCTACTCGCCCTGCGTGACCCACAGGGAGCTGGCCCTGGACCCCTGCATCAAGATCTGGGGATTCATCACTTAGCAGGAGATTCTGTGATTTGTAACGCAAGCCCCACTTAACGGTGGCCTAAGTCAAAGTTACTCTAAAAGAGGCCCAGAGTAGACAATTCCAGGTTGCTATGGTGATTCCACCTTCTCAGTGGCATTCTGCTCCCCACTCCTAAAATTGGCTTCCGTCTTTCATGTCACCTCATGGTTACAATGTGGCTGCTGCAGCTCTAATTATCACAACAGAACCTCTATCAAAGCCAAAGGTATGTGACTCCTAGTTTTGGCTTGGCTGCCTTAATAAGCTTTCCCAGAACTTCTAACCAATGGCTTATGTTTATATATCTTTGATCTCTCGACATAGAAATTGGGGAATGTGTTTTTTGATTTGGGTGCATTGACAAGTCCAATAGTACAGAGGTCCAGTTAGTGAGACTTGGGATTTGAACCCAAGAACTCTGAAGCGGAACTTGGGTGTTTGTTTGTTTGTTTGTTTTTGACAGGCAGAGTGGACAGTGAGAGAGAGACAGAGAGAGAAAGGTCTTCCTTTGCCGTTGGATCACCCAACAATGGCCACCGCTGCAGCCGGCGCACCGCGCTGATCCGATGGCAGGAGCCAGGATCCAGGTGCTTTTCCTGGTCTCCCATGGGGTGCAGGGCCCAAGCACTTGGGCCATCCTCCACTGCACTCCCTGGCCATAGCAGAGAGCTGGCCTGGAAGAGGGGCAACCGGGACAGAATCCGGCGCCCCAACCGGGACTAGAACCCGGTGTGCCGGCGCCGCATGGTGGAGGATTAGCCTATTGAGCCACGGCGCCGGCTCGGAACTTGGGTGTTTTAACTGAGGTCTTAAACCAGGCCAAGTGCTCACCCCTATAATGTATTTAGATGTGGATATTATATACGTGTGTGCAGTCTGTTAATTGATAGGTAGGTAGATAGACAATAGAGAAAATATGGCACCATTGTCCAGCTAAGATTCATGGGAGTTCATTTTTCTATTCTATCTGTTTCTCTATAGGCTTCTTTCTTCAAAATGATGGGCAGTCCAAAGGGTCAGAGAATCCTTGAGCCTGAGACCCACAGAAGGAACTTGTGCCTTGTCTGATGCCGCCTCCCAGGAGGTGAGGTGTCCCTCCCAAGGCTCAGGCTCCGTGGGATCCTTCAGCCACTGCTGGATGCCCGCACTCCCTTCTTCCCAGAGCTGGCACGTGTGGCTCCTTCCCTCGTTGCCCCGTCCTTCTCTGCACCCCTCCACTTTCTGTTCCAAGACCACTGCCTCAGGGAAGCCCTCCATGCCTCTCCTGTTTTAGGTTCATAACATCGTGTATGGTTCCTCACCAGCTCTGCACAGGTGCACCTGGGTCATGGTATCCATGACGGATGTCTACACCTCTGCTGCCATGAACCGCACGTGGTGCTTACTGTGTCCCAAGGACTTTACCTTGCACAGAGTTAATGTCCACTGCAAGTCCCAGATCCACACGTCCAGACAGGTGCGATCTCTCCTGGGCATCAGACTGAGTGGCCCGTGGCAAATTGCGTCTGATGACTTGGATTATAACACAGGTGTCTAAAATGCAGCACATGCCATGCCAAACTCCTAATCTTACCTTGAAGGGTGGCTCCTCCCCCTCTGCTTCCTCTCCCAAGGCACAGCTGCACCGTGCACCCAGCAGCCTCCCCCGGAACCCGCACGCGTCTCACAACCGCCCGTCTGCCATCAGAACCACCCTCTCTCCGAGTTCTGTTTCTTCCAACTCCAAAACTCCTCAGTCTCCTCTCCTTAAGGCACCATTTCCCACCTCTGCAACCAAGCTGTGCTCAAGTCTTCTAGTCTGAGCCTGGAAACGCTCGCAGCACCGCCAGCTAGCAACGCAAACACACGCTGGCCTCGTGGGAAAGACAGGTGATGCTCTCGTGCTTTAAGGAAAAGGCCCCGGAAGACAGAGAGGTTAGCTCGAGGGTGGAGACCTGGGGTCTCCATCAGAGCTTTCATAGGTCCTAGTGGTAAGGAATTAGTTCATTAAAAAAACTTACTTATTTACTTATTTGTTCATTCATTTGTTTATTTTAAAGGTAGGATGATGGAGAGATCTTTCATCTTCTGGTTCACTTTTTTTAAAACATTTATTTATGTATTTATTTGAAAGTCAGAGTTACAGAAAGGCAGAGGCAGAGAGAGAGTGAGAGAGAGAGAGAGGTCTTCCATCTGCTGGTTCACTCCCCAGATGGCCACAACTGCCAGAGCTGGGCTGATCCAAAGCCAGGAGCCAGGAGCTTCTTCTAGGATCTTCTTCCCACGTGGGTGCAGGGACCCAAGCACTTGGGCTATCGTCCACTGCTTTCCCAGGCCATCAGCAGGGAGCTGGCTCAGGAGTGGAGCAGCCAGGAGTGGATCCAGCACACTGACAGGGTATGCAAGCATTTCCAGTGGCTACTTAACCTGCTGTACCTGAAGCCTGAAATCTAGGAAACTAGTTTTAATCAAGGGACAGAAGACAGTTAAACCTTGGCCTCTCTGTTTGGCCAATATCTGCTCTTCATCTCTGGCTTTAGCCTTGGCCTTTGGAAAGAAAGCCAGATGTTCAAATGCCTGTGGCAGCGGCGGGCGGCCTCCCTGATATTTGTGCCTTGTCACTAATTCTGAAATCATGCAGGTTCCAGCGAAACTATGTGGCAAGCTTCCTGCAACAATTCCACCACTTTTCCTAGTTCTTTCATTTCTTAGCTACATATTCTTTAAGCATCCCTTCATCTGATGGTTTTGTAACATTTTCTACAGAGAGAATGGAAAGATAAAATTCAGTCTTTCTTTTAACATGGTTGATTAACATTTGTTTTTGTTGTTGATAAAAACAGATTTAAACCCTTTTTTCCAGGGATGGATGTTGTGATGCGGTGGGTTAAACCTCCACTTTGGGTGCTCGCGTGCCATATCCAAGTGCCTGCTTCAAGGCCCTGCTTCTCCATGCTTCTCACCCAGCTCCTGCTAATGCACTTGGGAGGCAGCAAATGATGGACCAAGCACTTGGTTTTCTGTTACCAGTGTGGGAGACTTAGATGGCGCTCCTGGCTCCCAGCTCCATCCTGGCACAGCCCCACCTGTAGGAAGCATCTGGGGAGTGAACCAGTGGATGAAACCTCGCTCTCTCTCTCTCTCTCTCTCTCTCTCTCTCTGTGTGTGTGTGTCTCCCTCTCTGTTAGTCTGCCTTTCAAATAAATAAATATTTAAAAAACTTTTCAGCTTTAAAACTCACTTTTGTTTCCAGCATATAAATGTTCAGAATTGTTATCAACTTTGGGGAAATGTCTATGAAATTTTGTTCTCATATGAGCTGTAAATACATGATATATCTCTACCTCAAATATATTCTTTTTTTAACTCTGTAATTAACACACATTTATTCTTAGGTGTTGAAATTTAACTGAAAAGTGATCCCTGTTAAATATAAGAGTGGGAATAAGAGAGGGAGGAGATGTACAATTTGGGACATGCTCAATCGGACTTGCCCCAAATGGTGGAGTTAGAAATGTGCCAGGGGATTCCAATACAATCCCATCAAGATTGCATGTACCAATGCCATCTCACTAGTCCAAGTGATCAATTTCAGTTCACAATTGATCAACTGATAGGTCTAAGAGTCAAAGGGATCACACAAATAAGACTAGTGTCTGCTAATACTAACTGATAGTATCAAAAAGGGAGAGAACGATCCAACATGGGAAGTGGGATACACAGCAGACTCATAGAATGGCAGATGTCCTAAACAGCACTCTGGCCTCAGAATCAGCCCTTAAGGCATTTGGATCTGGCTGAAGAGCCCATGAGAGTATTTTAGGCATGGAAAGCCAAGACACTCTGGAAAAAAAAAAAAAAAACACCTAAATGAAGGATCTCTGTGAGTGAGATCCCAGTGGAAAGAACGGGCCATCAAAGGAGGAGGTACCTTTCTCTGAAGGGAAGAGGGAACTTCCACTTTGACTATGACCTTGTCAAAATAAGATCAGGGGCCGGCACCCTCGGCTCAGTAGGCTAATCCTCCACCTTGCAGCGCTGGCACACCAGGTTCTAGTCCCGGTCGGGGCACCGGATTCTGTCCCAGTTGCCCCTCTTCCAGGCCAGCTCTCTGCTGTGGCCAGGGAGTGCAGTGGAGGATGGCCCAAGTGCTTGGGCCCTGCACCCCATGGGAGACCAGGAGAAGCACCTGGCTCCTGCCTTCGGATAGGCGCAGTGCACCGGCCGGCCGCGGCGGCCATTGGAGGGTGAACCAAAGGCAAAGGAAGACCTTTCTCTCTGTCTCTCTTTCTCATTATCCACTCTGCCTGTCAAAAAAAAAATAATAAGATCGAAGTCAGCGAACTCAAGAGGCTTCCATAGCCTTGGCAACTCATGACTAGAGCCTAGGGAGGTTTCTGACGCCATAAACAAGAGTGTCAAATTGTTAAGTCAACAACAGGAGTCACTGTGTACTTACTCCTTATGGGGGATCTCTGTCCTTTATGTGTTGTCCAGTGTGAATTAATGCCATAACTAGTACTCAAACAGTATTTTACGCTTTATGTTCTGTGTGGGTGCAAACTGATGAAATCTTTACTTAATATATACTAAATCAATCTTCTGTATATAAAGATAATTGAAAATGAATGTTGATGTGAATGGAATGGGAGAGGGAATGGGAGATGGGAGGGGTGCGGGTGGGAGGGAAGTTATGGGGGGTAAGAAGCCATTGTAATCCATAAGCTGTACTGTGGAAAATTATATTTACTAAATAAAAGTTTAAAAAAAAGTCTTAGTTATTTATTTGAAAGGCAAAGTTACAGGGAAGCAGAAGCAGAGAGAGAGAGAGAGGTCCTCCACCCGCTGCTTCACTCCCCAGATGGCCACAACAGCCAGAGCTGCACCCGTCTGAAGCCAGGAGCCAGGAGCTTCTTCCAGGTCTCCCACGTGGGTGCAGAGGCCCAAGGACTTGGGCCATCTTCTACTGCTTTCCCAGGACATAGCAGAGAGCTGGATCAGAAGCGGAGCAGCCAGGACTTTAACTGTTGCCCATATGGGATGCCAGCACTGCAGACAGTGGCTTTACCCACTAAGCCACAGCGCCAGGCCCCAGATATATTCTTGATGGAAGAAAACTTCCATTTCAACTTGGTGCTGAGTGTGACTGAGCCTTTCCCACCTGAGGGCTGTAAGAGGTGTCCACAGACTGGCTTCTGGCTCCAGGCATCTTCAATCTTTCGGCACCGTCCACATATATTCAGTGCTGGCTTTGTGAGATTATTTTCATTTCCATCCAACCTGACACTGTGAAGCCAAGTGACCCTTAGGAGGGCAGGAGTGTTTCCGGAAGCCATTGCAACAAATGCACACCAACAATAGCTGAGCCAGCCTTGCATGTGAGAAGGACTGCAAACCACCTGCTAGTCCCACAAGGTGCACCCAGGCCAACTCACCCTCTCCCTGGTCAGAGCTCCAGCAGGCCCGTGTGGTCCTGTGGTGCCACCAACAGAGGCAAAGTTAGAAAAAAGTGGAGCTCATTCATACACGATGGTAGGCTCCTGGGTTTTGTAACGTTTGTTCTCTTCATCAGCTGTCTAAATGCATAACCTATTGAGATTTCTCTTCTCATTCAAGATTCACTTTCCTTCCTAATTCTGTATTCATAACTTGTATGATTTTTTCTGCCAGAGCGCCCCGAATTACATCAGTGTCAGGCCCCGAGGAAAATGGGCGTGCGTTTTAACTCGGAGAAGTTCAACACTCAGACATCAGGGAAACCCTGGTGACAGATGGTTTTCAGGAAGGAGGAAGCCGAACCCCGAAGGAAGATTTGCGATTCAAGAGACCATGAAATAAGTAAGTAAATATCAATTACACCATGATCGTGTAATACACTGTGCTCACTGCTTTGGCTATTGCAACCCACGCACGTCACGGGACCCGCAGGTCTCCAGTTTCCCCGGGCACCACCCACTCTTACCTCCTGCTGGAGAGCACTCTGCTCACATCAGCGGGATAAGTGGACACTCGGCGCACTGAGAGCTGCAGCAAAACCTTCTGCTCTCCCATTTGTCAAGTCACTGGCTGGGTTGGAAGTGGAGCAGCCGGGACCCGAACCCACGTCCATATGGGAAGCCGGCACTGCAGGCAGCGGCTTTATCCACTATGCCACAGCACCTGCCCCCTTTTGTAAAAGATCTTAGCGGGCTTTATTTTGTGATTCTAAAATGTAGCGGTTCAGTCCACGTTCCAAGGAGGGCAGCAGAAGAGGCTGGTTTTGAGGACAGAGAGGGACCGAGGAAAGCAGACGCAGAGCACAGAGCGAGCTGCTCATTCCGACATTACCGTCCCTCTGAGTCAGGGACAAGGACCAAGGGAAAAGTCACTGGTTAGCGCAAGGTTGCTTCGGATTCCTTTTTTTTGATCAGGATTTTTTTTTATCAGGATTTAGAGCTCAGGGAACCTCATTATCACTGCAACTGCTCTGCTTGGGAGTTTTTGCCATTTCTTTCACTTCTGATTTCCTGGAAGGTCAGGTAACAACTTAGGCTCTGCAACTTGCGCTGTGAGTGACTCTGCTTCTGTTGTAGACTGTTGGAGCCTAGTACAGGAGCGCAGTCCAAACTACCAGCCTCCTGTAATTTTTATCCAACACTGGGTTCACCTCCCAGTGCAACTCCTTGCACTCAAATTCTTTTTAATTATTTATTTATATTTTAAGGAATACAAATTTCATAAGTACAACTTCAGGAATATAGTGATTCTTCCCACCATACCCACCCTCCCACCCACACTCCCACCCTTCCTCCTCCCTCTCCTCTTCCCAGTCCCATTCTCTATTAAGATTCATTTTCAATTAACTTAGTACACAGAAGACCAACTCTATGTTAAGTAAAGAGTTCTACAATTTGCTTACGCACACACACACACACAGTTTGAGAACTAGCTTTAGAGTTAACTCTCATAATACAACTCATTGAGGACAGAGGTCCTGCATGGGGAGTTAGTGCACAGTGACTTCTGTTGTTAATTTAACAATTAACATTCATGTATGACATCAGTGATCACCCGAGGCTCTTGACATGAGCTGCCAAGGCTATGGAAGCCTTTTGAGTCTGCAAACTCTGTCAGTATTTGGACAATTTGGACAAGGCCATAAGCAAGGTAGAAGTTCTTTCCCCCCCTTTAGAGAAAAGTACCTCCTTCTTTGATGGCCACTTCTTTCTGCGGGGGTCTCACCACATGTAGAACATTTTTTGCCACAGTGTCTTGACTTTCCATGCCAGAAATGCTTTTATGGGCTTTTCAGCCAGACCAGGAAGCCTTAAGGACTGATACCACACTCAAATTCTTATCTCAGGGCCTACCAAGACCCAGGGGTTTGTTCTAATCTTTACTTGTCACTACACATGACACAGCAGTGCAGGCATGGCAGGTGCAGGAGACTGGGCAGGGCTTTGTCTGAGTCTGGGACACAATTCCAGAAGACAGTGGTTAAAAGAAAGAAGTTCCCCAGATGCATGAATTTCGGGAGAATAAATCTTTCTCCGTGGGGATGCTTCAGTCTGCACATTGGAACACCGGAAAGGAACTTCTTAAAGGAAAAGGCTCTGTGGACATTCAGAGGGAGGGGGCACTGCGACCTGACAGCTTGGCTACTAGAAGTCTCACCAGAGTGACCAGAGTGAGTGAGCGTTCCCCCAGCCCCACGCTGGCCAGTCTGTCCTGGGCAGCTGTGCAGGGCAGACTCTCCGAGACTCCGAAGCTGGGACCCAGCTTTCAGGGAGTTAAAGCAACCTGCTCCTGCCGCCTGCAGAAACCCCGGGGACTGAAAACAATCAGGATCCTCGTCTCTCTCCCCTGACTCATCAGAGGCAGTGCATTTGGAAAGGCGTCTCCGAGGAGGGAGGCTAGCGTGCCTGGTTTGCATCCTGCTCATCTGGGAAGGGAAAGCTACCGCCCAACCCCTTCCAAGGCCCTGGACGCTGGACCAGCTGGCTCCCGGGGCACCATCCCCGTGGGAGCCACTGGCACCATCCCCGTGGGAGCCACTCCCCTTACGGGGAGGAGCCCAGCCAGGTACTGGCAGCTTCCCAGGTTGTAAATAGCTCTCTGTTTCACAAGAGGCTTCAGACGGCAGCCCATGGCAATGAAGGAAGAGAATCGTGACAGGTTGCAGACTGATGCAGAGAGTCCTGCCCCGGGCCTGATGGTCTGGTGGGAGGAGGGCAGACCCAGGAAGAACTCTCCAGAGAGGCCCGAGGCTGGCAGGTGGTGAAGGCATCAAGGAGAGCGGGTGGAGTGCAGCACAGTGGGTGCCCTGGGGGACTTCCCGGTTTGTGTGTTTAGCATCCTGCCCCCACCCCACCCCATAACCCCAAGCTGGGGTCTGCGAAGAAAAATAACCTGGCCCGCAACGGCATTCTTCCAGCTCCACTTGAAAGTTTGAAAAACCCCTGGATAGGAAAATAACCTCAGGGAGCCAAGTCTTTCTGTGCCTGGCCAAGCCCAAGACCCAAAATACACACATGAACACTTGGCTTTGAACCGGCCGCTGGACCCCTATCTGAGTCATCAGAAAACAAATAAAAAAGAGACCTAAACAAACAAACTTAATTGTGCACAGAAACACGGTCAGGTTCCAGCCTGGCTTCCCTTCTGTTTACGTTAGACGGGAGCCAATGCATGCAGCTTTCATGGCATCCAGAACAAGCAAAAATATTAGAAACAAATTGCCAAGGCTTCTCCCGCTTCCCGGCCTGCTCTACGGTGCACCACACATGCCAAGTCCTCCTCCACTTTTCTGCCTCGCCTCTCGCACCTCCCTCTTTCAGTCTTGATGGACAGCTGCCTGCTGCCCAGGTTGCCCGTGGACAAACAGCAAGCCTGGGTGGCAGTGTTGGTACCCACTCATTGCCCTTTCACTTCCTCTGTCTTGGTAGAAGCAATTTTCCCAGCAAGTTGGGTCCATGTGGTTTGGTCGGGGTCTGTCTCACGTACTCTGCTTTAGGTGTATGAGGTCAAGGGCTGGCCAATCGGGGTCTCCGAGACTGAAGCAGGAATGGGCACTAAATGCATTATGGGCTATGGAGACCCCAGCCTGGGACTCCTGCAAGGACTGCTGGGAAAGAAACAGTGGGTTCTTCAGCTGGTGTATTGTAATTCTGAAGCTGCCAGCAGTCCCATGGACACCACGAGGAGAGAGCATGTCTGACACAAAGAAAACTGGACCTGAGTGAGAGAGGACTTAGAACTCACATGTCATCTGAGCCCCTGGATCCAGCCATGACTGAACACAGATCTATCCTGGACATTACCAGAAAATTCAAAAATAATATCCCCACTTTGCTCGAGCTACTTTTAGTTGGGTTGTTGCATCTTGCAACTGAATGACTCCTAACACACATAAACATGCACCCCTCAAAATGCCATGTGGACCATCACTCTGGGTCTTTATTTATTTATTTCTCTTTTTGTCTCTTTCTCTCTCTCCCTCTCCCTCCCTCCCTCCCTTCCCTTTCTTCTTTTTACTTCTAGCAATGAACTTCTCAAAGGGAAGATATCTCTTCAGTGTATTTCAGTTTCAGTTAGGTGTCACATAGAGATCCAGAAGACAACCTACTTAAGCCCTGAGCCTCTGAGAAGTTCTGAAGTCTGAAGTTCAAGTCAACTCTGGCTTCCAATCACTTGCATGACTATGTTCCTCATAGTGCAGTGAAGGATGAATGAATCACCTCCCCTTGTTGGCTCCCCTCCCCCAAAGAAAGCTTTTATTTAAGGAATACAGACTTCAAGCATTTCATAAGTATAACTTTAAGAATACAGTGATTCTTCCCACCATACCTGCCCTCCCACCCACTCTCCCACCACTCCTCCTCCCCCTCCCATTCCCAGTCCTATTCTCCACTAAGATCCATTTTCCATTAACTTTATACACAGAAGACCAACTCTGTACTAAGTAAAAATTTCAACAATTTGCACAGTGAAAAACAGAACAAAACAAAAAAACTATTCATCAACAGTCGAGGCAAGGGTTGTTCAAAGTCAGGGTATCTTGAAGTTCATTTCAGTTCTTTTTTTTAGAAAATTAATTAACTTTAACAAAACACCCAAGAATGACACATCTTTTGTGAGCACTTAGACATAGTTATAACACAACTTTTTGAGGACAGAGGTCTTGCATGGGAAGTTAGTGCACAGTGACTCCTGTTGTTCATTTAACAATTAACTCGCTTATGTATGACATTAGTGGCCATCCACGGCTCTTGACATGAGCTGCCTAGGCTATGGAAGCCTTTTGAATCCACAAACTCTGTCAGACAAGGCCATAAGCAAAGTAGAAGTTCTCTATTCTGAGAAAAGTACCTCCTTCTTTGATGGCCACTTCTTTCCACTGGGGTCTCACCCACCGAGGTCCTTCATGTAGGACATTTTTTGCCTCAGTGTCTTGGCTTTCCATGCCAGAAATCCTCTCATGGGCTTTTCAGCCAGACCAGAATGCCTTAAGTGCTGATTCTGAGATCAGAGTGCCATTTAAAACGATTGTCATTCTAGGAGTCTGCTGTGTGGGCTGCCCCTGACTGGCCTGTGATACCAAGTACAAAATCATGTGGTAATTACTGAGAAATTTCTTTGCACTCCTCGGCCTGTTCTGATGACCAACTCCAAGCATCCTGTTTTTTGTGAGGCTGCAGGGACATTTAAATGCCAAGGTGGGTCTCTGTTCAAAGCCTGTGAAGAGCAACAGCAAGTCCCTGCCAGATGAAACCAATGCAACAGATGACCCAGGGACATCTGGGGGACAGGGAGAACTGCAGGACGCATGGTGGGGAACTGCAGGATGCACGGCATCTCTTCCTTGCTGCATGTGTTGGGAATAGGTGGAGGTGTGGGCTGTTGCCCCCTCCTTCACTCCAGCTCTCTGGTGAAGAGTGAGTAACAGGGGAAGGCATGCAGGCAAGGGACAGGAGCCTGAGGAACCAATCTGAGTGAGTCTTTGGAAGTCATTCATTCTTAAAATTAATGGTCTTCTCTAAAGAGCTCCATCAAAGTGTGGCTCACATCACCCACCACAATCACCACTACCAACACCAGGAAGACTTCCTTTATGCTCCCACTACAAGGAATCACTCCCGAGATGCACATTGGACTTAGCAGTTAAGACACTCATATCCCATGGTGCAGTGCCTGGGTTCCATTTTTGGATCCAACTCCTGACTCCAGTTTCTTCCCAATGGAAAAGATGAGGGCAACAGTGATGGCTCCAGTGACTGAATTCTTGCCTCCTTCATGGGAGAGCTGGGTTGAGTGCTGGGCTCCTGGCTCCTGGCTCCTAGCTCTGACCCTGGCCACCGTGGGCATTTAGGGAATTAGAGAATGAGAGTTTTATCTTTTCCTGTTTCTCTGCCTATCAAAGAAAAAAAATGAAAAGGAAAAACTATCACTATTTCCTCTTGCTCTTGTGCACACTTCGATGTGCTTGATGTTAGAAGTTGTTTGTGTAAGGAGATGGGGAGGGTTTTTACTCTCCACAGTCTTCTTGGGGAAAGTGTTAGGATAAATCACTGGACTGGTTCTTTGGGACAAGGTGAAGCTAGTACCTAGAAGTACATGGTCGAGTACAGCTACAAGGTGCTTCCTTGCCTCACTTCTAAGCTGTGTGGGAAGGGAGAACTATTTTCATGGGGTTGGGGGAGCCAAGAGACATCTGCATTGCTTTGCCTAACAGAGAGGAGAGGAAGGAACTGAGAGGAGGAATTGGGGAGGGGGTGAAGGGAGCTGCTGGAGCTGGAGGCTGCACTGAGGAAGGGCAAGGGAGAGGAAAGAAAAAGTGCTCCTGGAGGTGAGCACCTGGGGAGCGCTCAGGAGAACAGGACAGCTGGTGGGTTGTTTAAGCCAATGACCCCTGCCACGGGGTGACCGTGTGGCCTGAAGTTCACACGCTGGACAAGAATTCCCTATGCCACAGTGATCGGGGGGTGCCTGGTAAGAGGTGGTAGATCATGAGGGCTCTGTCCTCAGGCATGGATTAATGCAGGTCTTTAGGGCATGGGCCATCACCACAGGAAGGGGTGTTGGAAATGCAAGTCTGCCTTGTCCTCTCACCCTCCCCATCCTTTGCCCTGGGATGATGTAGCACAAAGGCCCTCGGCAGAGGTCAAGGCCATGCCCTTGGATTTCCCAGGCTCCAGAATCAGGAGCCAAACACATCTCTGTTGGTTCCAAAGTACGCAGTCTCAGGTGTTGTGTTGTATGGTAGAAACCAGACTAACCAGTCCATGGGAAGGGCACCACGCATCCCCATGAAGCTGCCAGTAATATCCTCGATGCTGGCAGACCCCTCTGTCTACTGCAGAACTCCCAAGGGCGAGGGTTTCTATGCATAAGGTACCACTGGCAAAAGGCAGAGGAGGGGCCGGCATTTGGCGCAGCAGGTTAACACCCTGGCCTGAAGTGCTGGCATCCCATACGGACGCCAGTTCGAGACCCGGCTGCTCCTGTTCCAATTCAGCCCTCTGCTATGCCCTGGGAAAGCAGTAGAAGATGTCCCAAGTCCTTGGGCCCCTGCACCCACGTGGGAAACCCAGAGGAAGTTCTTAGCTCCTGGCTTCAGATAGGCGCAGCTCCGGCCACTGCAGCCAATTGGGGAGTGAACCATTGGATGGAAGACATCACTCTCTCTCTCTTTGCCTATCCTATCTCTGTGTAACTGTGACTTTAAAATAAATAAATAGATCTTTAAAAAAAAAAAAAAAGGCAGAGGAAACACACGCAGACACAGTCTGAGGTTCAAGTTGACTTCTGGCTTCCATTCAGTTGCATGACTTTCCCAGTGCATGAGAGAACACCAGAGAGGAAGGGCCATTTGGCTCATTTTAACTCTTTCACTGCACCTGGTCCAGTGCTTGTCACCCAGCAGATGCACCAGAGGCATCAGAGCAGAAGCTCTACGGTCAATAAATGATTTAATGAGTTCATTCCTAGGATGGATAAATGAGTGAATGACATGATTTTCAAGCAAACGCCTGCAACAAAACATGGTGGGCTGCAAGCCAGAGACACCGTCAGCAGTGACTGGACTTCCAAGGCCATTGTGAACCCACACGACAACAGGAAGATTGGCCAAAGGCGGGGACTTCCATCAGGAATGGGGCAGCAAGGCAGGACGCACTCGCCACTGTGAATTGTGGGTGAATTCCTAGAGGCAAAAAAAGACGAGGGGTTTAAAGGGAAAATCAAGAGTGTTAGAGACATTGTTTGGAAAAAGTTATCCTCGGCTACACGGATCCATGACAAGAGTGATCTCAGTCCTCTGTGGACAGGAGATTGCTGGGCCGACCCCACCGTGGAAGTGTTTGCTGGGTCACGTTGCAGCAGCCTCTGTGTGTGGCATGGTGCTGGCGGGGTCTCTCTTGACAGTTCTTCTTGTCAGACCTCGTGTGCACGAGAGCCTCCCCTTCACAACCTCCTGGCTTCGGTTATTTATTCATTTTTTTCTCATTAGGGTTTGACATGAGTGATGCCATTTTGATTCTGGCCATTTTCCCACCATTATCATCATTAGCAACAGGCACATACGTACTAAGGAAAAGCCCAGGCAGGTCCTCATTGCCAAAATGAGGCATGATGCATTTCATTTTGAATAATACAGTTACAGGAAGCCAAATCATGCCCATCGGTAGTCTTCTTCCACGTGGGCTCTGGGATGGCCTTGACCAGCTCTGGCTGATGGGATATTATTAGCAAGCAGGCAAGAAAAGTGCACCAACTTTTTTTGCAACTCCCATGTCCTTGGGGATCACAGGCATGTGGACAAGGGTGCACCTGCTGGGTGACAGGAGACACGGACAGCAGTCAAGCTGTCCCCAGCAGCCCTGCCGACATCAAGCCAACCACCCTACAGCCCCAGCCTGCCTAGCCGGTGCACAGCAGAACAGCAAAGTCATCCCCAGAACTGGGAGAAAAAAAATAATGTCTGTGCTTTCCGCCACTCCATTTTTACCCAGCAGAAACTGCCTAGAGCATTATCCCATTTTATTGGAAAGAAACCAAGCCTTAGAGACATGGAGAAAACTGCCTCCAGTTAACGTCTAATTAACTAGTGGAACTGGGATTTGAACTCGAGTCTGTTTTCTGCAAGTTTCTGCAAGTTTCTGTTTCTCTAGTCCCTTGGCCCCCCAATTTATCGAGCCCGCTCGCTCGCTCTGGGGAACTCCAGCCAGAAGACAGAAGACAGAAAACAGTGCTACTGGAGACTGTGGCGCTGAGTACTGACCTACAAGTCCTGCCCCCTGGGGGTTCTCACACTTGGCATCACTCCCTGCATTGGGGTTTTATCTCCTCCTGATGCCTAGGTCACACTCCAAGGCAAGTCAATTAGGCTCCGAGAGTTAAACTCTGGGCTTTTAAAACTCTCATGCTGATTCCAACAAGCAACCAAGCCTGCTCATCTCAGCAGAGCAGAGCGGGGCTGGAGACTGCAACGCTCTTAGACTGGAGAAGTCTCCCATAGGACTTTCTCCAGAGAGGCACGGAGGGGCTCCAGGAAATGGGGGACCAGGATTCAATGAATAGACATTATGCACCCTGCACCACATCATTATTTCCTGCCCTCCAGGGCAGCAGAATGACAGTCATGCAGATGCAGGTTGCAAAGACACCACAGCTAAGCGCGCTGCTACCTGCTCCAGGTAAGAACAGAGGCCCGGTGGAGGCACAAGTCACTCTTTCCAGCCAGGACCCAGCAAAGGAGACCCTGGCATTGAGTCTTTAC